GGAACGGATTAAGTTCGAGAACCGAGGTACCACTGTATAAGAATAATAGTCAGAAAAAAATATGGCATGTTTCTAACTGCAGTATTTTCTAAATGCTGCTGTTGATCACATGATGAGCCAGCTACCATAAAAAGAGACTGACAGACAGACAGATAGATAGATAGATAGATAGATAGATAGTGCTATTCAAATATTTTATGAGTGCTTTATATACCAAGGTGGACAAAAACAAACCATATTTATAACGTGTGTGGATGAACTTACCAAAACAGACAGAATCTGAGGTGCGTAAGAAAAAATATCTAGTTTTATTTCATTTTTTATTATGCATTTGCTTCTGTAATTGAACGATGCATTCATAACGAACACAGAAATGAAAAACAGCGGCCCTTTGACTATATACACTCTCAGACTCCATGACTTTGTTTCTATATTCTTGTAATCACTGTGGCTGCAGTGCTGTATGATTGCTAGTGGTGAAGCACTTCCTGGCAGATAAGGCGCATGCACTACATCTCGTTCTGCTGGCTCATGTCTGCTGATACACTGTTGAACTCGCTGGCGCGGGTATTCATGCCGAGATACTGCTTCAGGAACTCGCTGAAGCGTTTCTGATTGTTCCACTTCCGGGCAGATTTTCGGACACCTATGAACCCCCCGTATCGCTTCTGCATGGACCTGCTGGGGTCCATCAGCTTCCTGTATCCATACTTGCCTTTCAGGAAGCCCCCAAATCGTTTGGTGAGATTGATGGCTGCCCCCTCGGGTTCATTATCCATGGCTCCTTCCTCCATTTCTGTTCTTTCCTCTTCTTCAGACCCATGTTGCTGGGACCCATATGAGGCACTAAGCTGGGCTGTTCCCAATGCCCGCGCCACATGGTCGAAGCGTTGCAGGGCCTCAGAGTACAACAGCCCACCATCTCCCTGGTTAGCAGGCAATACGGCTGCCACTTCCTCTTCTGCCCTCTTCAGCATTGTGCCACCTGCTGGCCAGGAGGATGAATGCGACTGCTCCACATGTTGTCTACACAGTTCCCAAGTGAGGGCTGGTGAGTCCTTGCTCTCGCACTCCACCAGACAAACCTATACAATAGCCATGGGGTTGAAAAAATCAGCCACGTCTTACACTCCAGTTCATTAGAGTAATGGTGTATAAAAAACATCTGTACCTCATTATCCTCAGTGACACAATTGCGGCACAGGGATAGTTGAGTCCAGAACCTAAATCGTGCCTGGTCATTAATCATACATGTTTAATGATCTGTGTTTGGAAAGAAATACATGTACAAATATACCCAACATTAATGTCCATGTATAAATGTCTGTCTTAAAACCACACAGTTAAGATTACCTATGGTTATCTTCAATTACACCATGATTTTTATCCAGTAACAAATGTGTACTGGGTAGCATGGCGCCTCCGTTGGTAGCACTGTCACCCCCCACCTACAGGGTTGCGAGGCTGAATCCTGCCTTCACTCTGTAGGTGTGTGTCCCTCTCCGAGGGTGTTACTCAAAGGCTGGACGTGTCACAGTGGCACGACAAGGCTGTCCCATTTCAAAGGCTTCTTCGAAAAGAAGCGAGTCCTTCTTTTCCCGGCCAGCGAAGGATCCGCAGGTGGATCCTTCACAGCCCAAACCGTCCCAAGATTCATTACGCGGATTTTTTTGAAGGACCCGGCCTACAAAGGCTATGCCGACTGCGTCCTTCGTAGGAAGCAGCTCTTGAACTGGGACACAGCTTGTATGTCTAGAGTTTGAATGTTCTCCCTGTGTTGGACAGGTTTCATTTGGGTACTCCAGTTTCCCCCTGCAGTAAGGCAAAATAGCATCTGAAAATTGGTGTGTGTGTGTGTATTACATTGTGTATATTATGTGGATATTACATTGTGGGGACCCACATTTTTATCAGTCCCCACAGGGGGAAACTGAATTTTACAAAAATTTGTGACTGCAATCATAGAACTAAAAATGTCTTGTATTTTGTTTAGTTACTTATGGTTATGGATAAGGCTGAGTAGGGGTTAAGGTTGTCATAGCTGGGATTAGGGTTACACCCATAGAAATCAATGGAGAGTCCCCACAAAGATATAGATACCTCATCTGCGTGTGCCTTGCGATTGGCTGGCATCTCTTGCGTTGTACCCTTTTGATTTATGAATGGACAGTAATAATATGGTGTGTACCTCAGTAGGGTTAGGGATTAGGGCCTGTGTACCCTGTGGTTGGAAGAGTGACCATATTCCTGCTGGCCCCTTGAACAAGGCCCTTAAACCAAAGCTGCAGTGTCACTTGAATCTGGCTGACCTGCACCCCAACACCAAGCTTTCCTCACCAATATGTCGCTTAGGACCCAAGCCTCTGCTGAAATAGCAAATTTAAATAATAATTACTATTATGTTTCTACCTCCAGCATCTTTCGAAGATGGAAGGACTTTCCTCTGTTCAAAGTCTGTCTACCTCTGCGGTATCAACAGCTTTCAAACGTATGAGGTCATCAAAGCAATACTGGACCAAGGCCAAAACACTCATAAAAATCTATCAAAGACAGGCCTCCAAATTGTCCTTTAAAATCTGTTCTTGCAGGTTAACCATTACATGAAAACTGAGACTTAAAGTCTGGCGTGAAACTTTACAAGACCAAAGGGAATTCTTTCATGTAGGTATTTATCCACATCTGTACAGTCAATAATTGGGGGGGATATTGTTTGGGAGAGAGGTTTTATTCTTTATTTAAGGTTCTGCCAAAGGAGGCCTGAATTGCCTATAAAGGAGTGAACATTTAATTGGCATAAGGCCGATCACCAATATATCTCAAGAAATCAATTAGTCAATGAGGGTTAGGGCAGACAGAATGAACTGCAAGTGGTGGGAGCAAGATTGGGGGGGGGCAGGGGGTTGTCAAGCGAGAAGGGGGTGTCGAAAACACGTTTTCCTCATTTAAATGCAGCAGAACCGCCTGGAAACATCCATGGAGCTTTTTTTCTGTCAATTTCTTGAGCACTGTAGGCATAAGCAGTGCAATAATTATTATGTGGTAGGTAATTAAATCACTGCTGAAATCTTTGCATAAATTAACTTAATCTCCATTTAAGCCTCAAGCTGATATTAGACGAGTAGGAAAGGTTATGAACTACGTTCTAAACTAATAAGAATGACTGTTTTGTGCAAAAATAAATATTGGATAAATTGACCACGAAGGATCCTGGAAACAAAAAATCAACACAAGAACAAAGGGAACTTGACAGGTTCTCTGCTGAGCTGAGATCACAGTTAGGAATGTTGTCTGTTGGCAGTGTGAGGTGAGTGTGTATGACGAGTGATATGAATGTTGTGGAAGGTGGAGACTCACCAGCGAGCTGAAGGATTGTTTCTCTGGGAACAGCAGGCTGCAGGAGAGGCAGTCCCGCTGACAGTCGGACATTCCTGGGTCACATGTGCACAGAAGCAGCAGCAAAGTCCACAGGGACTTCATGACTGCAGTCGCAGGGGAGGGAACAGATATCAGTGGAGGAACCGACAGAGATGGAGAGAGTCGTGGAAAAAATGGGATTCTTCTGTGGGGTATTTCATTGCTGATTGTTAAACTTTAGCATACATTTGGTGAACACTTATGCATATGATCAATTTAAAAACTTATAGTAAAGACATATGCTTGGTGGAGAAGGAAGATATTTGTATACATAATCCATGAATCTGCCATAGCCAATTATTGAGTACAGGGCTATTTTATCTTATTCAGTCCAGGAAGCTATCCTACAAATGTTATACTATGGGGCGGAGGACACACTAGATGTCATCACAGGGCAATACTGATACATGTAGAATCTTCAAGAATGTTTTGCATTGATACTTCTGTAACTACAGAAAGAAACATCATCATTTAGGATATAAGATTTTATTCGGTATTGCATAAATTTTGATTGCCCTTTCTTGCTCATTAGAGTGAACAGTATGATTGTCTTTCCTGAACTATTCTAAAAAGTTAACAGAATTAATCACAATTATTTTGCCCACCTAACATGAGTTAAATAGATCATTCGTCTCCAGGGTAAATACAAAGACTAAAAGACTTTAAAGACCTTTTTTTCTTAATTAACAAAAGTTATTTCCCTTAAATGCAGCTTGAATTAGTTCTTGAGGCATAAATGGAATAGAGGGGATTTTCGGGTTTGTCAACCATTGATTGCTACTTCCCACATTCTGCATTAGTTACCAGAAAAAGATTACAGCTACGTCATGAAAAAATACCGCCTGTCAGGTCCTATTCAGAAAAACTGAATATGTGGGATATAATTTCCTAAAAGAATTGATGAATTTTAACTGCACTAAAGCTTTAATAGTTGTCCATGTGAATG